GTACTCGTACGCGCGTACCCTCGGTAAGAGCGACGCCGACGGTTTGTACGTACGCGCGAGGCATTTGACGCGACGGATCGCATGACCGGATGCGGGGGTAGGTAAATTGGTCGGCAATTGGTGACGCCACCGGAGAGTCGTAAGCTATCGGTCGGTCACTCGTTATCGGTCGCTCCTCGATCTCCTTCTTCCGGACGAAGGACTTCGAGAAGAGACGCTCGCCAGCGAAAGAAGCCACGCGCGACCGCAACGCGCGCCAGAAAACGCGGCTATTTCCGTCCTAGGCGACGCGTAGAATCGAGCAGAATCGAGAGCGTAACCGAGCCAACTCGCACCTAGATCCTCGACCCCGAATGTTACGATCCTCGTTGCGGCAACGGCGAGCCAGCGTTGCTGTCTAATTGCGACAATTTAATAACGCGTTAATGGACCGCGAGCGAGCTAAACTGCCGCGTGACCGTCCGCGATGCTTCTCCGTTTCTCGAACGCGTCGCGGAGTTTCCATCGGGTTCGCGGAAGACGCGATTCCGGTTAATCGAGATACAGGGAATCGATCGACGAATTCGAGCACGCGAGCTTTCGCCGAAAAACGCGTTACCGAGCGATCGGATACGCGCGGTCTCATCGGTTCCGCGAACGGGACCGAGCGAGCGCCGCGTCACGTCGCGGTTAGCGCGAATCCGCCGGGACAGAGCGACAAAGGCCAAGGAGAATTACCCCGTGAAACACGAGTCGTTTAGTCGAAGCGAGCTCGTTCGAACGCCAGCGAAATTCGCCGAGAGACTGATTAACGCGTAGGAGAATTATGCAAATGGCCGTCGACGTCCGAGTCGCGACGCGACGCGTTCGGCCAGCAACGTTTCTCCCCATTGAGAATCGATGGAGAAACGTGGTGCGAACGACGAAACCGGAACCCATCGAATTCGAGGGGATCGTCGTCTCGCGCGTCTACTGAAAGAGAGAAAGTCGAGTTTACCTCGGTGACCAGGGTGCTGTCGTAGTCCCGGGTGTCGTAAACCCATCCGTGTTGGCAACCGATGACCGGCCGTCGGGGTTACCGACCGGTGGCGGTGGTAACCTGTCTCTCCGCGGACGCTCGCCGTCGCCGCTACCGTCCGTCCCGTTCTCCGGAATCGCGCCGCTCAACCACGACTCGACGATAGCCGTATAGTTCACGTCGTACATCTTGCACTTGGAGTATTTCACCTTGCCGTCCGATTTCTCGGTGAACGGCAGCGACAGATTCTTCCTCTCGCTCAGCGTCATCAGATCGGTCAGATTCTCCAGTTGCGGTACCCTGCACCAATGATCCGGCGACGCGCTCACAAACACCTGTCGGCCAATTAATCGCGCGTACGCGCGCCAAACGTTTCTACTCTGCCCGAGTGTTCTCGACCGATCTCGAGCGCGAGATCGAGAAGAAAGCTATGCGACTCACTTGCGAGAAAGCCAAAAAGGCGGCTGGAAGAGTGGCCGGGATGCAGAGAAGGTAGTACATGATGTTCTGATATTTGCCCTTCTCGCCCACGTGCACCAACACCTCGTCAAAGTCGATCGAGCTCATGTTTCCGGGGCTGATGCTTCACCGCGTATGAACGACACCTCCGCCTCCGCATCGACGATCCTCCGCGTCTCGACGGTTACGCGACTCTTGCACACCCTCGAATCACGCGGCATGTCCGCCGCGACGAATCCTCCTCGACGCGACGGCTCCTCGACACCGATTTTACCCGAACCGTTTACCTGTTTCCGCGATACGACGCTCGCTCTAGTTTCTACGCAAAAACCGCGAAAACGCGAAAACTCGCGACTCCGGCGCTAAAACTCGGCGGGAAAAACGCGTCGCGAGACAGCGTCCGAAACCACCGATCCGGTTGGTCGTCGCTGCTCGTCTCGCGATCTCGGTCTCGCGACAGTCTCTTCGACGCGGAGCGGACACGAACCGAACGGTTTCTGCTTCGAATTCGGAATCGCGTAAAGCGCGGCGAACGCACGTCTTCGCGCGTTCTTATATGCCGCGATCATAGCGCCGACCGCGATCAGCCATTGCCGGAGAACACCTCCTCTCTTCCGATCCTCCCGAGCATCCTCTTCGACGGGCTCCCTCCGCCTCTCCGCAGCCGC